TCGATAAGTTCTCCAAAATGGGTCACTTCATACCGACCAACGCCACAGCTACAGCTGAAGCAACTGCTCGCCTCTTCTTCGACCGCATCATCACCATCCACGGCATCCCCGCTACACTCATCTCAGACAGAGACCCCAAATTCACGAGTAAGTTCTGGAAGGAGCTCATGGGATTATTGGGGACCAAACTTGCGATGTCCTCAGCATACCACCCACAGACTGACGGACAGACAGAGCGACTCAATCAAGTGGTTGAACAGTTACTGCGCACAGCTTGCAAGGACGACGTCAGCCACTGGTACACACAGTTACCGACCCTAGAGTTCGCTTACAACAACGCATCACATGCGGCCACAGGGAAAACTCCCTTCTTCCTGTGTTACGGACGGGAATCACTCACACCAGAGCAGCCAACCACACCGGCACACGTCCAAGCCGCACATGACTTTGTCACCACCATGCAGCAGCTATGGGAGAAGACTCAGCGACGACTCACCACGATGCAGACCTCCCAGAAGCAGTATGCCGATCGTCAGCGACGTGATCACTCAGTAGCAGTCGGAGATCAGGTGCTTCTTGACACGCGCAACTTGAACCTGTCTCACCTCCCATCCAAACTCCGGCCTCGCTTCTGTGGTCCTTTTCTCGTTGAGGCACAGGTGACGCCAGTTACATTCCGCTTGCGCTTACCAGATACATGGAAGCTTCACAACGCTTTCCATGTTCAGCTACTGAAACCCTACAAGGACCCGAACCAACAGTTCCAGGGACGGCAGCTACCGCCACCACCACCTGTTCTCATACAGGATGAACCCGAGTACGAAGTGGAGCGCGTTCTCGCTCATCGGCGCCGCGGCGGCAAGACCCTCGAGTTCCTGATCCACTGGAAGGGATACAACCCCACTGAGGACAGTTGGGTTGCAGACGCTGATATGGGCAACGCACGCCGTGCTCTCCAGGACTATCTTGTCAAGCAGGGTGTATCTCACGCCACCCAGCTTTGAGGGGGGGACGTGTGAGAGTACGACGGCTTATGCCAGCTATGCTTGCTTGCCTTTACTTTATCATGCTATTTCTAGCATAGGATAATTATATGCATGCATGAATTGCTTGATTTCCTAGGCTAGGTGCTTTCCTATATTTTATTATAGTTATAGCACCGAGCTAGGTTGCGTGCACCGAATTTTGGCTTTTCGGTTGCCACCGAATTGCCTTCTACCGAATTCGGGAAGGATCTGTTCGGGACGCTTCGCGACCCGCGGAACCTTCGCGTAACACCTGGTTACTGGGCCTTGTGTCGAGCCTATATATAGCCTCGTGTTGTACCCAGGTGATCATTCAATTCAAACTCTCTTTTCTGAGCTCGATCCTAGATCCTCACACTCACACTGAGCTGACAGGCGGTCTTGCTGAGCGTCGTGAGTCTGCGTCTCGTCCTGTCTCGCTTGTTCGCACTATCCGCACTGGTCGTACTGGTCGCCGTGTTCCTCGTGAGCGTCCGCCGGCTGTCCACGGCACACACCTCATGGCCCTACGTCCGTCCTCTGCTCCGCAGCATGTTCCTCTGCCGTCTCCTCCTGCGTCTTCTCTGCCTGTCGTTGCTGACCCTGGGTCTGACCAGTTTTGTACTGAGCACCCAACTGTCACGCGTCTGCTAGCCACAGTTGTCACTGACCCGTCGTTTGAGTCTGCTGCTGCGTCTGCCTTTGACGCTGAGCTTGTTGACTTTGCTACTGCGTGTCGTCTAGACTACGCCGCTAGTCTTGTTGCTGCGTCTGAGTCTGTCTGTCCTCCATCTGTCCTCCATCCGCCGGGGGTGAGTGTGCTCTTGGCACCGACGTCCTTGAGGACAGGCAGGAGGACCTTGAGTGTCTTGCAGCCGCTGCGCCTCATCTCGTGTCCATGCTGCTTGCCCCTGAGGGAGACCCGGATGCTCCAGACATCCCGACCCCGCGCTCTTACGCTGAGTCGATCGCGGGTGAGTACTCCTCTCAGTGGCAGACAGCCATGGACGCAGAGATGGCATCCTGGATGTCCACAGGCACTTATGTTGACGAGGTTCCCCCTCCTGGGGCGAACATCGTCGATGGCATGTGGATTTTCAGGGTGAAGCGGCCGCAAGGTTCTCCGCCTGTCTTCAAGGCTCGTTACGTTGCTCGAGGTTTCAGTCAGCGAGAGGGAGTTGACTTCTTCCAGACCTTCTCCCCCACCCCGAAGATGACCACTCTTTGGGTACTGCTGCACGTTGCCGCTCAGCGTGACTACGAGCTTCACTCTCATGACTTCAGCACAGTTTTCTTACAAGGCAGCCTGCACGAGGAGATCTGGCTGCGCCGCCCACCTGGTTTCACTGGGTCGTTCCCTCTTGGTACCCAGTGGAGCCTCCGACGGCCGGTCTACGGTCTCCGCCAGGCGCCACGTGAGTGGCACGACACACTGAGGACGACACTTGCGGCTCTTGGGTTTGCTTTGTTGACTGCTGACCCATCACTGTTTCTGCGCACCGACACTTCGCTGCCGCCGTTCTACATCCTCGTGTACGTCGACGACTTGGTCTTTGCCACTGCTGACACTGAGGCTCTCGCCCTGGTGAAGTCGGAGCTGCAGAAGAGACACACGTGCACAGACCTGGGTGAGCTGCGCAGTTACCTTGGCTTGCAGATCACCCGGGACAGAGCATGCCGCACCATCACACTGACTCAGTCACATATGGTGCAGCAGGTCCTTCAGCGCTTCGGCTTCACCTGGTCCTCGGCACAGGCCACTCCTCTGGCTACAGGTCACTCGCTCGCAGCTCCACCTTCGGACGAGTCCGTAGAGCCGAGTGGTCCTTACCAGAGCTAGTGGGCTGCCTCATGTACCTGATGACCTGCACTCAACCTGACCTTGCGTACCCTCTTGGCCTTCTGGCTCGCTACGTGGCTCCTGGTCGGCACCGAAAGGTGCACATGGATTCTGCTAAGAGGGTACTACGCTACTTGTGCAGTACATCGGGCATGGGGCTCGTGCTTGGAGGACGGAGCGACGTTGTCCTCACTGGGCACTCAGACGCTTCTTGGGTTGACGACCAGGCTACACAGCGGTCGTCACAGGGTTACACCTTCAGCCTTGGCTCTGGTTCAGTTTCTTGTTGTTCTACACGCTCTTCTTCAGTTCTCAGCTCTAGTTGTGAGGCTGAGATCTACGCCACAGTCATGGCTGCACAGGAGTTACGCTGGCTCACCTACCTGCTGACCGACTTGGGAGAGCGGCCTCGTTCTCCTCCAGTGTTGTACGTCGACAACAAGGCCGTCATTGCCTTGTGTCAGGAGCACCAATTGGAGCACAGAACGAAGCACATCGCTCTACGTTACTTCATTGCTCGAGAGTTGCAGCAGCGTGGTCAGCTTCGTCTTGCTCACGTGGCCACTCGGGCCAATACTGCTGATATATTCACCAAGGCACTTCCGTCTGGTGATCATCAGCGTTTCTGCACTTTGTTAGGCCTTGTGCCAACTTTTCTTCACTTGCTGTCGACTTTGCTTTTAATGTTATCTATATATATGCCTGCATGCTTGCTCTACTAGATAGAGATCACTGTACTGTTGCTGCATATATACCTCTGCATGTGAACTGGCCTTGTGGCCCTTTTCTTGTGCTCAGTGTGTGTGGTGACGTTGTGATCCACCCTGAGCTTGCTTTGCTTCTCTTGACTGGTCTTGTGACCCCTTGCTCTCCCCCACTTTGCCTATGGGGGTGTGTCAAAGTATATATATGTGCTATATATGTTTAGGCTGTAGTGGGGTAGCCAATATGGGGTACAGCCCCTGTTAGGGTTTCATACTTGTACCCAACTCTTCCATAGTTGATTCATTCATGTCTCTAGATTCTAACAGCCCCCAGGCATGAAGCTGCCAAGTGGCGAACGCGCACGAGGTGGCGCTGTGCAAGGTTCAGGTGCACAAGGTGATGGTGCACCATCAGCCACTGACTTGGTTATGACCAATCAGGCCATCATGGGAAGAAACGCGAGGTGGGCAATGCGCTTGCAAGAGTATGACTTCGTTATTAAGCACCGGTCGTGCAACAATATGTAACATGTTGATGGGCTATCCTAGAACCTCAAGGACGTCCATCGGCCAGCCCGGAGGCAAGGCGCCGAGGAGGGGGCAAGTGAGGAGACAGAGAGTGTACCCCTAATTACCAGGAAGCCATCAAGCAGGGATCAAGAAGAGTGGTATCAACAAGAGGAGAGCAGCCGGAGGCAAGAAGATTCCTACAGCACTCACAATTAATAAGCCAATAGAGGAATAGGTTTGCTTGTAGATAGTCATATATAAATGAGTGACAGTAGTATAGGAAGAAACCATCCGTCGCACTAGCGTAACAAGGCAACGGAAAGTGCCGAGCCTGGGTCGAATCGACCAAAGCGGGAAATGCATCAAAAGGTGTAACGGGTGAACGTGAGAAGGAAAGGTGCGGGTGTGGGACCATCTGCTTGCTTGTTTGTTTTCTCATTGTTAACTAAAGGATTCTTGAGACCTAGCTACCAAGAAGCCACTTCAAGCGGACAGTCAGCCGAGCATAGCCATCCAGTAGTGAGGAGCAGCTCATGCTCAGTAGTGAGGAGCAGCTCATGCTCAGTAGTGAGGAGCCAGAGAGTGTACCCCTAGTTACCAGGAAGCCATCAGCACGGATCAAGATGAGCGGTGTCAACAAGAGGTGAACAGCCGGAGGCAAGAAGATTCCTACAGCACGCAAAAAAGTTGGAGGTGAAAAATATAATCTTCCCCTGTCTCCCCATCTTCCCCTGCACTCTCCTCTTCCACTCCTCTCCTCCCTCTCCCTCTCCCTCTCCCCCTCCCCCTCCCCGTTCCTCTCCCTCTCCCCCGCCCCCTCCCTCGCCCCCTTCCACCTGCCCCCTTCCCAGCACCGGCACCGTCCCCCTGCTGCTGGTGGCAGCGCATGCGCCTCAGCATGCCGAACAGCTCCTCCACGTCGCCGCCCGCCTCTCCCGCCTGTCAGTGGTGCACACGGGGATCAGGGGCGGGAGGAGGGTGAGGAGCGGGAGGGGAGTGAGGGGCAACGGCGAGAAAGTGCAGGGGCACGATGGGGGGAAGGGGAACAAGCAGATACCTCCAACTCATCCAAACCGATGCCCCCCGTCTCTTCCACCTGTAAGTGGTGCACAGCAGGGTGTGGGGCGGGAGGAGGGTGAGGGGTGGGAGGAGGGTGAGGGCCAAGGGAGGGGTGACGATTCAGGAAAGGGTGGGGGCGATGTGGGGAGGGTGTGTGTAGCGCAGGGAACACAATGAGACAGGCAGCGGCAGGACAAGCGTGGGGAAGACGGGCTGGCAGGAAGCACAGCAGCAAGGGGGATTAGGGGCACACCAGCATTGATCTGAAGCCACTTCGAGTGCAAGGCTGGACCCATCCACCAGCAACCCATCCACCAGCAACCCATCCACCAGCAACCCATCCACCAGCAACCCATCCACCAGCAACCCATCCACCAGCAACCCATCCACCAGCAACCCATCCACCGGCAACCCATCCACCAGCAACCCATCCACCAGCAACCCATCCACCAGCAACCCATCCACCAGCAACCCATCCACCAGCAACCCATCCACCACAACACAAAGCCACATGTCCTCCCACCATTCTGCGCCCACCTTCCCCACTCTCCCCCTTCGCACAAAGCACCATTCTTCCCCCCTCTCCCCCTTCGCACAAAGCACCATTCTCCCCCCCTCTCCCCCTTCGCACAAAGCACCATTCTCCCCCCCTCTCCCCCTTCGCACAAAGCACCATTCTCCCCCCCTCTCCCCCTTCGCACAAAGCACCATTCTCCCCCCCTCTCCCCCTTCGCACAAAGCACCATTCTTCCCCCCTCTCCCCCTTCGCACAAAGCACCATTCTTCCCCCCTCTCCCCCTTCGCACAAAGCACCATTCTTCCCCCCTCTCCCCCTTCGCACAAAGCACCATTCTTCCCCCCTCTCCCCCTTCGCACAAAGCACCATTCTTCCCCCCTCTCCCCCTTCGCACAAAGCACCATTCTTCCCCCCTCTCCCCCTTCGCACAAAGCACCATTCTTCCCCCCTCTCCCCCTTCGCACAAAGCACCATTCTTCCCCCCTCTCCCCCTTCGCACAAAGCACCATTCTTCCCCCCTCTCCCCCTTCGCACAAAGCACCATTCTTCCCCCCTCTCCCCCTTCGCACAAAGCACCATTCTTCCCCCCTCTCCCCCTTCGCACAAAGCACCATTCTTCCCCCCTCTCCCCCTTCGCACAAAGCACCATTCTTCCCCCCTCTCCCCCTTCGCACAAAGCACCATTCTTCCCCCCTCTCCCCCTTCGCACAAAGCACCATTCTTCCCCCCTCTCCCCCTTCGCACAAAGCACCATTCTTCCCCCCTCTCCCCCTTCGCACAAAGCACCATTCTTCCCCCCTCTCCCCCTTCGCACAAAGCACCACTCTTCCCCCCTCTCCCCCTTCGCACAAAGCACCATTCTTCCCCCCTCTCCCCCTTCGCACAAAGCACCATTCTTCCCCCCTCTCCCCCTTCGCACAAAGCACCATTCTTCCCCCCTCTCCCCCTTCGCACAAAGCACCATTCTTCCCCCCTCTCCCCCTTCGCACAAAGCACCATTCTCCCCCCCTCTCCCCCTTCGCACAAAGCACCATTCTCCCCCCCTCTCCCCCTTCGCACAAAGCACCATTCTCCCCCCCTCTCCCCCTTCGCACAAAGCACCATTCTCCCCCCACACCCCCCCCTTCCCCCTCCCAGCACCAGCATGTCTCGCACGGGTAGGCCCTCATCACTTCCCGCAACCCCTCTGAAGCGGCTGCCAGCGAGCTGCACGCCACCAGTGCCTCTGAAGTGGCACTCAACGCACCTCCTCCCCCAGCCTTTCCGCCATCAACACTGCCTTCCCTTCCCCCATCGACCTCTCCTTGCGCGCCCTTGGCCTTCCCCTCACCTGAACCACCTCCGCTCCCCGCAGCACCAATCGCATTTAACACTTGCACCCCCGTGCTCCCCCCTTCCTCCTTCACCCCCTCCTCTCCTGCACCTTCCATGCTACCATCGCGTTCCTTCCCTTCGTCCTTACCTCTACTGCCCTTCCCCTCATCCTCTTCATCCTCCTCTCCCTCTGCGCCCTCCTCCCCATCCTCCTCACCGCCCTCCCCTGCGTCCTCCCCCTCCTCTGCATCTGGTGCATTCGTCTCTGCGAGCAGCATGGCGATCAAATCCGCCATGTCGTGATTCACCTGCCGTCATGGAAGGAGGGGGTGAGGTGGGGGTGCAAGGGGCAGAGAATGCGGCAGCATGGCAAAGAGGGATGTGAGAAGAATGCGGCGATTGCAAGAGGAGAGAGCGTGCGGGAGAGGGAATGAGAATGCGACAGCGTGGCAAAGAGAGAAGTCGTGCAAAGGACAATGCCGGGCTGATGTGAGAGGAGGAGCGATGCTGCAAAAGCGGTGGGACATGAGGGAGAATGGGAATTGTTAAATCACCGTTCCCCGTGCAAAGCCTCACAACCTTACCTGAACCCATCATCCCCTCACCTGCACCTGCCCCCCAAACCCCCTTCCCTCACCTGCAGCCGGGACAGCACGTCTGCAATGTCAGCGGTGCAGCGTGCGGCGGGGCACTGCTTGACGATCTTCTGTGCGCGCAGCGACCGCCCCGCGGTCTTGGAGCGGTCGCGCGTGTCGGCCTGCCCGTGGAAGCGCTGCTGCAGGAACGCGAGGCAGAAGCTGTGCTGGCAGGGCGTGGACACCGGGGCGCGGAGCACTCCCCCACACAGCAGACACGCGAAGTCTGAGGGGAGGAGAGGAGGAGGGATGGAAGGGAGGGGCGAGAAGAAACGAGTTCTCTTAGCTGCTGGTCACAGCTTCATGCACTCTCATTCCTCGTCATGCCACAACCAGCCCCAATCCCCCAGCAGGCAGGATCATACCAGTCACGACCCACAGCCCAGACCCTCCCATCACCCAGCCTGCCACACCTTTGGCAAGCCGCTTCTGTGCCAGCGCTCTGCGCTTCTTCACATCCTCGCCCGTGCTGCCACCGCTAGCCTCTCTTTTAGGCGTCTCAGAGACACACCAATCGCATCTCCCACCCCGCTCACCTTTAGCGAGCTGCTTTCTGTGCCAGCGCTCTGCGCTTCTTCACGGCCTCGCCCGTGCTGCCCACCGCGAGGCGCTTGGCGGAGCGCCATGCCGTGCTGGTGCCACCGATGGGCTTGGTGCATGCTGGGGGCGGCCGCACCCACCCCCACTGCTGCTTCTCCTCCTGTGGGCGTGAGAAGAGAGCACAGGAAGGACAGGCTTGAGTGTGTGTTATCCAGTTACACGTGTGCACGCATGCACACACATGCAATCCCACCCATGCACAATCCAGTCCCAGGCGGGCGGGCCGGTGCGCTCGGTGACGTCCACCGCCTGCTTCAACTCCGCCACCTGCGGCAGCTTCCTCCCCGGGCTGTCCCCCACGTCGTCACTGCGTCGCACACACGGGGGGCAGGGGGCAGGGACAGGGGCAGGGGACAGGGGCAGGGGACAGGGGGCAGGGGAAAGAGGGGTGAGCGGGGGTGGAAGAGGAGGAAGAGGGGGGAGAGGGGGAAGAAGAGGAGGAAGAAGGGGGAGAGCATGGGATCAGCAAGTGGAGGCAAGGAGGGGATAATGGAGACAAGCAGGGCGGGCCAAGCGAGAGAGAATGGATGGACTAAGCAGCTTGGCGCGCCCTGAGTGTGCAGGGAGCAGAACGTGGTATGGGCGGTGGAGAGGTGCTCCTACGAGGTCCAGGGGGCGGGCGAGTTGTCACAGCGCACCAAGAGGTAGCGACACACGAGGAAGCCCTGTGGGTGTGAGATAACAGAGAGGCGTGCAGCACAAAAGGACATGCGCGATGCTCATTCCGATTGTGCTTTTGCGTTGGCAGCAACACCATAATTCCAAGGTTCCCTCCCACTCTACACGTCCACCCACCTACAACAGTCATCACGCTCCCTTCCCCCCCTTTCCTCACCACATCCCCTTTCCCCGAACTCACAACGCACCTCCACACTCCCCCTCTCCAACGCACCACGGCGCTCTTCTTGCGCCAGCAGCACTCGATGAGGTAGACGCCGTCATTGCACGCCCGCCTGTGGCGTCATTCCAACGCACCACATCCCACTCACCATGTCCCACTCACCATGCCCCACTCACCATGTCCCACTCACCATGCCCCACTCACCGTGTACTACCCACCCCCCTTCCCCCTTCTCACCACGGCGCTCTTCTTGCGCCAGCAGCGCTCGATGCGGTAGACGCCGTCGTACCGCACGCCTGCCTGGGGTGCATAGCTGGACCGCCGCTCCTTCTCCGACCTGCAGCGCGGGCGCAGTGACGCATGCGTGCGGGATGCGACGGGACGTCATGCGATGTGGTTGGCGGAGAGGTGTGCGCGTTGGAGAGGGTCGGACGGCAGTCACAGGGGAATGCACTTGCGCGGGAATGCACTTTCACGGCCTCGGCTGTGCTGCCCACCGCGAGGCGCTTGGCGGAGCGCCATGCTGTGCTGGTGCCGCCGATGGGCTTGGTGCATGCTGGGGGCGCGCGCACCCACCCCCACTGCTGCTTCTCCTCCTGTGGACGCGGGAGTGAGAGCACGGGAGGAACAGCCTTGAGTGTGCACCGTTTACCGCCAAACCAGCTCGAGACTGGTTGACTTGGCTTGTGAGGGGGGGCTTGCCGGGTGTGGGTGATTCTTCGGTTTGGCTCGTGCTTGAGTGCATCGCGGTCACACGCATCAAGCACGCATCAAGCACGCGTGTTCATCCCAACAAAGAAACATTAGCAGCTGTCACCCCGTGCCACTCACAAGCAAGCCCCGCACGCGCCGCTCACAAGTCACTCCAAATTGCGCCACTCATCCCGCACCCATACACACCCACCCACACACATCAACGCACTCACAATCCAGTCCCAGGCGGGCGGGCCGGTGCGCTCTGTGACGTCCACTGCCTGCTTCAACTCCGCCACCTGCGGCAGCTTCCTCCCCGGGCTGTCCCCCACGTCGTCACTGGGGAAAGAGGAGTGGGGGGGAGTGCGAGGGGAGAGAAGCGCGGTTGTGTTTAGAGAAAGGGAGGAAAGATGCTGTGTGACGTTTCGAATGGGAGAGGTTAACGAAGTGATGGGGAATTGAGCAGGAGAGTGCTGTGAGGGACACGAGGGCCAAGCGGGCCACACGGGAGAGAATGGATGGCCAGAGCTGCTTGGCGCGCACTGAGTGTGATGGGCCTGTCAGTGCCTGGTCTGGGGGGTACCTACCTGGTATGGGCTGTGGAGAGGGGTACGGACCTGGTATGGGCGGTAGAGGGGTACGGACCTGGTCCAGGGGGCGGGCGAGTTGTCACAGCGCACGAAGAGGTAGCGACACACGAGGAAGCCCTGCGGGTGGGGGGGTGTTGCAGCAGCAGGGGAGGACAGAGGCGCTGCTCATTCCTCTCGCACTTGCGCTTGCAATAACACCCACGAACCCAAGTGACTTCCCTTCCGCTCCTACTCATGGCGACCCTGCTTTCGCCCTCAACACGGTGCTCTCACCATTTCAACACGGTGCTCTCACCATTTCAACACGGTGCTCTCACCATTTCAACACGGTGCTCTCACCATTTCAACACGGTGCTCTCACCATTTCAACACGGTGCTCTCACCATTTCAACACGGTGCTCTCACCATTTCAACACGGTGCTCTCACCATTTCAACACGGTGCTCTCACCATTTCAACACGGTGCTCTCACCATTTCAACACGGTGCTCTCACCATTTCAACACGGTGCTCTCACCATTTCAACACATGGCCCCTTCCGACGCTTTCTCACCACGACTCTCCTCCCTTCCCCCTCCCCTCTCCCTCCCTTCCCCCTCCCCTCTCCCTCCCTTCCCCCTCCCCTCTCCCTCCCTTCCCCCTCCCCTCTCCCTCCCTTCCCCCTCCCCTCTCCCTCCCTTCCCCCTTTCCTCACCACTTTACTCTTCTTGCGCCAGCAGCGCTCGATGCGGTAGACGCCGTCGTACCGCACGCCTGCCTGGGGTGCATAGCTGGACCGCCGCTCCTTCTCCGACCTGCAGCGCGGGCGCAGTGACGCATGCGTGCGGGATGCGACGGGACGTCATGCGATGTGGTTGGCGGAGAGGTGTGCGCGTTGGAGAGGGTCGGACGGCAGTCACAGGGGAATGCACTTGCGCCGGGAAAGGGGAACCAGGGGGGAGGTGCGTGGCGCGGGTGAGGAGCAGAGCACAGGGGCAGGGGAGAAGTCAAACACGATGGGGAAGGAACACCAAGGGGAAAAGAGAGGGGTGGGGGAAACGGCATAGGATGGAGAAATGAGAGTCAACAAAGGTAGGTAGGAGGGGCGGAAGGGCGGCACTAGGAAGGTGCTGAAGGGGTGTGGGTAGGGCTGGAAGGGAGAATGCGAGAATGGGAGAAGGGAGGATCGCGGGACACGGAGGCCGGGTGGCAGCGGGGTCGAGAAGCCAGCGAGCCGGACTTGATCATGTGAGTCATGGTGTACCGGCGGAAGGGAGACTTCCCCTGGTGGTAGGGACGTAGGGAGGTGGGAAAGAGTGGAAGAAGAGAGGTGTGGATGAAGGGCGGAAGCGAGAAAGGGGGGAAGGGCTGGAGAAGGAACGCAAGAGGAGGCACGAAGTTCGACAGGAAGGAGAGGGGACGGGATAGAGGCGACGGGTGTGGGGAAACGAGGCGAGGAGGCAAAGGCGAGCTCTAGTGGTGCGACGGCGAGGAGAAGCGGCGGAGACGGGCGGCGACGGGGCCGAAATGCGACGGGGACGAGCTGCGACGGGGACGATGCGACGGGCTGCGACGGGGGACGAAGTGCGACGAAGACAAAATGCGACGGGGACGAGATGCGACGGGGACGAGCTGCGACGGGGACGAAATGCGACCGGGACGAGATGGGACGGGGACGAAAAGCGACGGGGACGAAATGCGACGGGGGAGACGAGACGGATGAGGAGAACCTACGGGGCGGAGATGCTACGGGCCCACATTGCGACGGCTAGGTCATAAGCTGGCGAGGACACGCTGGTTCTGCCGTCAATACCGCGAGCGTGGAAAAAAGCTGCGGACGAGGCGGGAGTTTATGAGCGCGAACTCTACGTTCTGAAGTGACGGCGGTAAGAGATTTTGCTACTTGTAACAAGTTGACGCGGGCCCTGTAAGAGTTGGATTACGGTCTCACATCCGCGATTCATGGTCCTACGTGCTCGTATCCAGAGGAGGTGCCGATAAGGCTCATTCACTGGTTATCTACTATCAGTGCAGACCCTTCCAAATCGACGGCTCAAACCAATGCTGTATCATTTCTTTAGGTGCGTATTGACCAGGAGGCAGCTCACCGCGCCATGACGTGTAGGGCGTAGTCTCGGCTTCGGGTCATCTGGTGTTTGGGGACCCCGAATTATCTTTGCCGAACCGCGGTTTTCCGAATCGAGATGTGGCGAGCTTCGGCGAACAAGGTGTCCGAACTGAAAATTTCGCCGAGCTGCTGGGCTCAATTTCTGGTAGCGCGACAACATTCAGAAATTGCATTGCAGTCAGAAATCTAGTCGCGCCAAAATTGCCAGTTTGCTCTTGCGATCGCAGCTCAAACTGACGAGTGTAACGAATCACGGTATTTCAAAATAAATCGCCAACGAATTTGGCGTGTGGTCCCAGGACTTGCCTGTTTTTCTCGAAACTCACCCGAGCAAATCAGGTAACAGCTCAGGTACGGTTTTCGCAAACTGGGCCCAGGTTGTAATTCGGGCACTGGGTTCCGTGTTCTGCGGCAATGCGCAAGCTTCTCAGCTATGGAATTCTCCTGAATTTGTTGCTTGCCTAGAAGGTTTTGCGGCTACAGTTCTACCCTCCTCAACCACGGCATTCCCGCCAGGTACCCCGCCATGTGCGTTCGCTTGAATGTGCTGTCCACACGACAGCGCATTCTCGATGTTTCCCACAGCGTGACAAGCAAGGCATTTTACTCCCTGGTCATGGAACCGAGGCATATCGGTTTTACACCACTCTATAACAAAAGAGCACCCTACGGAACGGCTTTGTAACGCCCTCATGTCTGAACACGTTCCCCTCCTGTTCTTGCCAAGCATAAATGCCACAAGGCTGCTCGTTTCTGCATTCAAGCTTTCAGACTCTCTATCTTACCTCGTCAACGAGCCAACCACCGTAATACATTCTAGGATCGATTCATCCGCTAGGCGCTTCAGTTTGCGATGGGGCTCCAACGTTACCATGACGTTTCGATACTTCTCTTACTAGTCTTCACCGCATGTGCTAGTAGTGAGTGACGCGGATCTGTGCCTGCCCACAACTGTCACATTCGCCGTTTCTTGCTGTCAGATTCAAAGCAGTTAACTTTCACGAAGCATTACAGCGAAAAGCTTCGTATTGTAATCCCTAGATGTTATTTCTCATGTATTTCACATGTTTAATTCCAAACGTGACTTTCTTCCATGTGGGCAGCGATAAACGCGGGTTTTATTGGCGCGGGTCCGTGCCCGTTGCCCAATCCCGAGAAGGCTGCGGCTCTCGATCATTTGACTGGTAAGACGGAGAAGACTTTTGCAAACCTTTAGGAGCACGTCTTCCAAGCGACCATATTCTGGAATCTCAATCCGAAGGATCCTTTAAAGTCCGTTGCACCTTTCCGCTATTCTCTCTCTCTCTCTCTCTTTCACGTCGTTCCGCCGCTCCTCTCCCTTGCGCAGCCATTCTCGCCGCGCGCCTGAAAGGTTCCGCTATGGGGACGTCGGGCGACAAAAACGCCAGCGGTCGAATCTGCCTCGCCGTCTTTGAGTAAGCCCGACTGCTACTTTCGATATCATCCCGGCGGTTGCGGGCACTACAGTGTGATGCCTCGTCTGTCGACGCTTTTCGTTTCCCGTATCTACTAACGAAACCCGGCCCCTCATACATCGCGGAAATGTCTTAGGCCAAAATTTGAGTTTAAGTCTGAAAGCTGCAGGAAAGTTGCTGACTTGTATCCTGAATGTATCCAAAAAGCATAGACTGAAAAAAGCAACTCACACAAACTTAGGATACAAGGGGTAACCGAGCCGCGAATTTTGGATACGTGGGTAACCCGAGGCGTGATTTTCGGATTCGTGGGTTTCTCGGACCGCACATTTCTAGCATCAAATTCGACACCTCGGCACCGAACAGCACACCTGGTCACGACCAAAATGTGGGAGTCTCCCTTGCTGTGAAACTGCAGGTGTCCGATAGATTAGCATTAGGTTAGCATTCTCGAAAGTTGCGAACGCGGTAACGTGGATACAAACCGCACGACCGTCGCCAAGGTACAACCAGGAATCGGAGCTGGCAACAGGCACAAGGGTTCACAGTCACACCCAATCAGTGCTAAGTGTTCAGATGTCGGGTACTGACGTGGCTTCCACGGACCAAGGTTCAGCTAACCCGTAACGAAGTGGTCGAACCTAATGATTTTTTACTAACCAATCACTGGGGTGCTCTTGCCTGCAGCAAAAATCAACGGCATATTTTGACGACACTTCAGCAGCACACCTCCAAGCTCTAGAAGCATCTATCTTTGCGCATGACTCTCTCCCGACCAAACACCCGTCACCTGCCTCATTTTCACACAACTGACTAAGGTTCTTCACATCTCCTGCCTCTGAGTGTCCTCTTAGCACAATTAGCGTCAACCTAAAGACCACATCACTTCTACGTGTTATTGCATTTTATTACCACTGCTTGTAACTCAGACCCATGTTATCAATTCGGCCCCTGCGAATCCTCCCCTATCCTTTTACAGATTACACAGCAACGTTTTCTACACGCGGAGAACGTGGCACCAGCGACTTTAACGGAATCGCCGGGTTCCGCGCGAAAAGCGCCGAAAGGTGTGCTACACATGCTTTTTGTAACTCGTAACCAAGCTATCATTTTCCCGTGCGTGTGCCTTAGGTTGTAACTCGTTCATCTATTCTCACGGGTTATGCTTCGCGAGCAATCGATCTGTTCGTATCTTGCCGATATGTGTGCAGATCTGTCGCGATGGCTTGTAAGTTCCTTTTTTTCCCGCCCCTGCCAGTCCTCCCATTCCTTAGTGCATTTTAATTAGTTGCACTTCTTTTTTTCCCCAGCCTCCCAATACTGCTCGTCGGCATGCTCACTGCATTACTAGGACCGGTGGCCCGCGAATCGTGTGGGACGCGGCGTCTTCAGCGCGAGAAACGCGGTGAGTGTGGTAGTCGCACCAAGGCCTCTCTCTGCCTCTGCTTGAGCTTTTAACCATGCGCGTTCTAACCCCATGTTGTCTGGAGTCCAGCCTGTAACGATAATGTTGTTATGTCTTTTGTTGATGTAGTCATCGTGTTTCAGGGCTGATTTCCATGTGCAGGGTTCATGG